TACACCAGCCTTCTAACTTCCAGCACCCTCCCCCACCCCCCGACCTTATGAGTGCTAATATTACAAGGATCAATCACTATATCTGGAACTCTTATTATAAACGGAGATGTGATGGGTAGACTTGAGTAGCAACCTAGTTATCTTTCCTTAGCCATTTATTTATTTATTTATCCATCTATCTATCTATTTATTTATTTATTTATTTACTTATTTATTTATTTTTGAGGTAAGCTCTCATGACATAGTCCAGCTGCCTGGCCTGGAACTCATTGTGAAGCCAATACTGTTTTGAAATCATGGTGATCTTCCTGTCTCAGCTTCCTGGCTTGTGAAATTAAAGCTATAAATCGATATGCCCAATTATTATTTTATTATTTTCATCTTTATTCAGGCTTCATCTCATCTTAATGTGGTAGTAGCACAAAACATTTCACTTATACAAAAAAAAATTTATTTGAATACTCAATCCATCCATTAGCAATACTTTACAATAAATTGAGAGAACCTCTCAGATAAAATAAAAATACTGTCAGTTATTTTTTTCATGTAACAAAATATCTGACGAAAGCAACTTAAGGGTTTCCTTTGGCTCACAGTTTGATGAAGGTTCAGTCTGTCACCACAAGGAAAGGCATGACACCTAGGACATGAAGCAGTACCTCACCAGCCTTCTAACCATGTTCATAGTCAGGAAGCAGAGACTGACGAAAGCCTATGCTATGCTTGTTTCTCTTTCCTACCTACTCATTTCTGGAACCTACCTCATCGGTGGTACTGTCCACATTAAGGATTCATCTTCCCTCTTTAGTCAAATCTTTCAGGAAATATACTCAGACACACTCAGAGGTCTCATAGTGATTCTAAATCTAATCATTGAAGACTATCACAGACTGATTTTGATGGTATTTTTTAAAACTTAATTTTGATTTTGTATTAAGTTCTTCCCAGTCTGTGTATAATTTGGTTGCAAAAGGCAAGTGGTTCACATAGTCTGTGTGAGTGTTCTTCATTTTGCTAGTTTGATCCAGGGTCTTGCTATGTAGCCCAAGCTAACTCTGAGCACCATCCTACCTCCCTCTCCCCAATGCTGGGCTGCATACCATACTTGGATAAGCCTTTTAACAGGGAAAGTGTCAATCCCAACTACAGATCCATTCTGGATCCTTTGCAGGCTGACAGGAGGTTCACAGCACCCCTTGCAGGTGCCACAAGTCAAACAGGTGTCCCCCGATCTTCGCTCCATCAGTTAGCTGTCTAACAGCATGAACCTCTACAGAATCAGAACATGTGTGAGAGGGGCTATCCAATGGGGATTTTTGAGATGGAAGGCTCTGTATCTGTTTGTATCTGTTTGTCCAATAGGGTGGCCTCTAGGTAAGGGTAGTTCTTTAGTCTTTCTATTATGGTTACTGTGGCTAAAGGGCAAAATGTACTCAACAGCCGCATGCATTAGGTTAGTGCATGTCTGCTAGACCCTTCAAACATTCTGGTGGGTATTAGGAGCGCAAGGCCAATTATGGAGAATCCAGGAGTCTTCAAATAACAGCACAGTGCTTATAAAACATGTCGTTCCTTCAGTATGGACTTTGTTTTCAGAAAATAAAACCCAAATCAACCAGTCTTTAGGCTTCTTTTCTGTATGATTCATCTTTCTGCAAAGAGGTGTAAGACCGATTTTATTGCCAACTCTGCCTCCTCTTCTACAGTCAGAGCTCAGTGATTAGACACTACATTTATTTAGGCTATTCTCCCCCAAAACCTGGTTTCTATGCTGCAAATAAATGACAGAAACTTTTTCACTACATTATCCCAGACAGCACAAATGTTCTTTCCCAAAGTGGAGGCTGGAACCACAGCCTCCTCACACTGCCAGTTACATCTGCCGATGCTTATGGAAGCAGCTTCTGCTTCCCAGACAGGGAATGCCAGCCTCTCGGTGAGGACAGGGAATATGTTGATTAAAAAAAAAAAAAAAAAAAAAAAGGAGAAAATGTCTAGCTGAAAATCAGATCCATAGAATTAACTCACTACAAAGCAATTTAGAAATGGAATGATTTTCCTTGGGTACCACATGGGTTCTTTGTGTATAATTGCCTGGCTATTTTTCTAGTCATTATTCACAATGAAGTTGTGAATACATCACAAGCCCCAATCCTCCATTTTCCTCATCTGTAACCTGTAATGAATGAAATTTCAGGCTAGAGACATGGATCAGAGGTCAGGTGCCTGTAGAGTTCTTCCATAGGACCGGAGCTCCTATCACCCATACCAGGCAGCTTCAGAACTGTCTGTAAGTCCAGTTCCAAGAGATCTGACACACGATTCTGGCCTCCACGAACATCGGTACTCATGCCATCCCATGACCCATAGGTGCGTACTCATGAATAAAACGAATCTTTTTAAAAAAAAGTAATTATATTGTGTTAGGAAAACTTTAATCAACGATGACTACAGTATATTTTGTTTCATTTCTCTTTCTATATCCTAGAAGACAATCCTAAGTCGGGATAGAGTGATGGGGAAAATTACTGGAACATGGAAGGGAAATAAGGCCCTCATCCTAGAGCTGGGACCCCGTGCTGGATGAGAGGGAGACTTCCTGAGTAACATTTGCTGCACAAGTTGCAGGCACACACACACAATGCTATGAGCCATGCTTGAGGCTAGACCGTAAGTGACCTTGCAAGGGCCTCATTCTTTTTGCAGACATTTTCTAGGAATTTCAAACAAGACTATTAACTTTGTTTACGGTAGAGATAAGCCTATCTCCCCCGATTCGGTTGATCTAGAATTTTACCTTATCAATGGAAACCCGGAGGTCACCCCCCTGGGACCGCCCTGGTATCTCATTCAGGTTCTTCGGTCACCTTTGAAGACAATAGTTTCAACACCGACCTGAATGGTGTGTATGGGTAGATACTGGAAGGAGGAGAAGCCCAGCCTGTGCTCTGCAATGTGCCTTCCTCGTACCCTGAGCACCTCTTTCTACTCACCCTCTACTCTAAAACACCCTTTAACAAGCCCCAAACCTGCCGTGGACCAGCTAATTCTAAAATAGTTTTCTGCATCTAAGAAAAAATTGAGAATTTTTAATAGAAATGATGAGGGGACAGGTCAGGCTGAAGGGTGGTGGCCTTGAATCATGCCCGTCCCCTGCCATGGCTCTCAGTACTACAGAAATTCTAAATCTTTTGTGCTTTATGCAACATTAAGCAGTTTTATCTCTTTGTAGATTTTCTGTATTGAGAATGTTGCAGTATTGTGCTGATTTTACTACACAGACATATAATTTCTAGTTATTGTTGTAGTTACTGTTTTTGTTTTTCCTGACAGGGTTTCTCTGTGTAGTCCAGGCTGGCCTCAAATTCTGGGATCCACCTGCCTCTGCGTCTTAATGCTGGGATTAAAGACATGAGCCACCATGGCGTAGTTGTTGTCTTTAAGTCTCTATAGCGAATGGCTCGATTTGTAGCTTAGGCCGTCCACAAATTCAGTTCTCCTGTGGAAGTACAGGCACACCTCACACATAATGTAGCAAACCACCTAATTTTGTCTCTTCAGAAACTTTATTTCTGCCCCACAGGACTTTTGGATGGGTTAATAATCTACATCGGCCTGTTTTGTATGTAGGAGAAAAGTATACAATCCTTCACACATTCAGGAGAGGATGTATTGAGAGTTTATGAAAGGGCAAAAGCAAGGAGCGTGAACTGAAAAGCTGTACAAGAAGAAATCCCAAGTCCTCTTCATCTCTTTCCTTCTAGCAATGGGGCCTCGAGGTTCAGAGCCGTTGTCTCACTGAAGGCCAACCTAGAGTAGGGCCTAGGTCTTGGCCTTCTAGGCCAGCCCAGGCCATTACCGCCCTGGAATGCCTGGGGTCACCAAGCCAACTGTAGACTTTGTGGGGTGCACGGCATCTGGTAGCCCAAACCCTGCCCTGGAACCCACCCTTGGCAGGCCCCAGAGGCACAGGCCTTGGCCCTAAGCGCCAGGGCCCCCTCGCCCACGGTCTTGGGGGTGGGGCGGCCTCGCCTCGGGCCGGTGCTTTTCGCCCTTCCTTGGCCGCCAGAGGCTCCCTCTCTCCCTCTCCTGGGATTTCGCTGCCGGGCTCCCTCTCTCCGCGGCCCTAGAGTTTAATCCCATCGGCCGAGGTGAGGCACCTGTTACCCCGGGCCTTCCTCAGCCCCGCGGCCCGTCCCCTAGTCCAGCGGGCCTCGCGGGCCGCAGGGCCCGGCCTGGGGGCCCCGCACGTGGGCCTCGCCGCGTCCCGGCCCCAGGCCGCAGCCGAGGGTGTTTAACGTTAGCGTCGGGGCCCCGGGGCCGGGCCGCCATGGCACCGGGGGATGGCGGGGGAGGGGGGAGGAGGGGGAGGGCGAGCGCAGCGCGCATCCCGGGGCCGCCCCGCGCGGGCAGGACGCGCGTGGGGGGCC